GTTTGCAGGCAGCGTGCCACAGCACTGCGCTCCTCCGCGTGGAGACAGGAAAACGGATCCGGAACAGTTCATGGGAGGAGATGCTGCCAACCAGCCCGAACGGCTTTGAGCATCACGGCCCCTGTGAAATCACCTCGCAAGCGAGGTTGTAACCTTGCTTAGACCTGGACAACAGAACGGTGCCAAACATTTCCCACTGAACGTAAGCACGTCATTAAATGCCAAGTACAGTTACATCCATTCCACTTTGGTAGGAATTCGGGTGTGGTACGCAGGAGGTCACAGCACGAGCTGGTTTGCTGTGGGGTCTTTATGTTAAGGCAGATATGATGCTCCACGTTAATATAATGAATTGTGTGAGCAGCTGAAGTGAAACACAGATGTACAACCACAAGAACTTAAAGATTTCATTCCGATGGCAAAGCAGATTTAACAAAGCCTTAATAGTCAGGTTGTTTATAATTGCCTAGGAGTTACTGCTCTAAACCCCATTCTGCTACCCCAGTGTCAGTTAGGGCCATATTCAATGAGGCTTTCAGATTTACTCCAGGCACAACTATTTCTGGTGTAAATGAGAATTTGGCCTTTTTTTGCTTGAAAGGCACAATTTTTTGGGAGAGAAATGTAATTAGGCAATGGGTAGCTTACGCGTTATGTATCTTAACTAGCAGTTTTGTGATCACTTCCCAGTTGTATAAATACCAGACATGTGGGAAATGCATCTGTGGGAGCAGCCAGCCGTTGAAGAGCAGGATTTGGCTGCCACGGAGAAGGTTTACAGGCTCATAAATAGGCTTGGGTTCCAAACCATTGTCACAGTACACATCTAACAACAATACAGAAGCAAATGAGTTTATTCATCATGAAGGGACTCATTTGCAACAGAACATGTGAGGCGCTGAGCTCTTTAAAGAGAATTGGCGATGAGCTGCTCCTGGAGGAGCAAATGAAAAATCCAGGACCCGAGTGCCCGCGCTCTGGCAAGAGCAGCTCACGCCTGGGTCGTGGGCAGAAGGTCACCAGCAGGTAACGACTTTCTCCTGAAGTCACTGTACTCTGACCCCTCTCACCCCTTTCCTCTGCCTTACACGGACCCCGCTGCGAACTCTGCAAAAGGCGTCAATGTGTCGTAGACAGAGCATGAAGAACACGCGGCTCCAGATTTTGTGGGTCACAGCCATCCAACGAGAGACTGCGATTTGTTCGTCTCCCTTATATTGATTCTACCTCCTGATCATTTTGTCCCAGTCACCATTTTTAATCTTTGTCATTTTTTAAAAAAAACCAGCAAGCAGATTTGTACACAAAGGAGAAAAATTTTATTTTTTTTTTTAAATCTGTCTAAGTAGCATGGTATGAAAAACCTGCTCCAGGGGAACTGCGGAAAACCTTTTGCTGGGCAAGAATCCATCAAACCTTTAAGTGGGCAGATCCCACTCTTAAGGAATAGATACCTTTGTTCCACATCTTTTTAATTAAAATCTTAATTACACAAAGAAAATGCAGCAATCTTCCAGCCACACTTGAGTTTGCTCTCGTGTGCCTTCCTTCTCCATGGCTGTCTCAGTAATTCCTCTGGGATGCTCCATCTGCTCAAAGAGGGGCAACGACAAATCGTGTCGTGCGTTTTGTCGCGGCTCCAGGGACGGTGTCGCCGTGCTGCGGCGATGCTGGAGTTCCTGGGTTTAAAGGGCAGCGGTGTGACTCGGGCCGAGCGAAGGCAGCCAGATGCAGCCCTACCGACGGAAGCATCGAAACGAGCGTG